AACCAACGTTTAAAATATGACCTAGATATTGCTTTAAGCTCAGGTATTCAGCTTGGTACTAGAAACAGTCTCTTGATGAAAAATAACGAAAGTCTTTCAGAGCGTATATGACAGCTTGAAGATGAGGCAAGAGAACTCAAAAATAAGATTAATCAAAAAGAGATTTCTCTTTCGAGTGCTAATAGCGAGATTGCTACAAAATTGGAAGAGATACAAGCTCTCCATTCAAGAGTAGAGGAATTAGAGCAGGATGTTTCTTTAGCAGAGAAGAGATTATCAGAGATGGATTCTCTTAAGCGTAAATCTGAACAGGAATACCTAAAACTATCCGAGGAAAATGTTAGTTTAGTTTTGGCAAAAATGGAGTTAAAAGATACACTGGTCAAAAAAAAAGATGAATTAATGCAGGTGAATGAGGATTTGCTTTTGGCGCAAAAGTCAGTAATAGAGAAAGATTCTTTCCTTCAAGAAACCAATACTCTTTTATTAGAACAGTTTTCAAAAGCATCAGCATCACGAACAAATCTAAGCAAAATGAAGTGATTGGAGGTGATAAAGAACTGGAGAAAGGTATTAAAATCACTAGCCCTAAAACAACCTCAGATTCATCTTATTACTTATTTTTTTAGCAGATGGAATCATTATTGTAATAGTATTATTAGTCATATTCATCATATGGCACATATTCTCTTATCAATATTCTTTCAACTAGGGATTGCAATTTTTATTCAAATCTGAATAATCTACGTATTTGATCCGAACAGATCAGATCGGATTTTAAATTTTTTGATCCATTTGCATTCGAATCGGATATGGATTTCAAATTTTGAAATCTGATCCCATCGGATTCTAAATTTTGTATCCAATTGGATTTCAAGTTTAAAATCTAACCAGGTTCAAATAAAATTCAGCAGTTTAACTATATTTAAATGTAGCTATTTAAGGTAATTAAAAAAAAAACCCCCCTGGATTTTTTTTATATTCCTTTAACACCTTTACATATTTCTTTAAAATTTTGTGATATTTTTTATGATATTTTTCTTCTTGCAACATTATTGGTATTATTTATATCAAAAAATAAAATGAAATATAATAGTTCTTTAATGATTCCAATGAAACAAATGATGAAAGTTTTAGTTTAGATAGTTATGAATTAAGTGATATCAGTAATATTGTTATCAATAGTTTTTTGGAAGTATTATCGAGTAATAAAATAAATTATAAAAGTAAAGTGTGGAATCATTTTACAAAGGATTTTGATTTCAATGAAAGTAAAAAAGTTTTCTGCAATTATTGTAGCACCAAATATACCTGTAGTGGAGGCAACACCTCTAATCTTTTCAAACATCTAGAAAAAAATCACTTATTAAAAATAAATCTATATTCTGATAAACCTTTAATCGAAAAATTTTTAATACTACAATGGTCAGTATAAATATATTTATTAAATTTAAAACTATTAAAATTTATTTTTTATATAGTGGATACATGAACTTGAAAAAGTAAAACAAAATCTCATACAATGGATTGTCATAAATCAACACTCTTTTACAATCATAGAGGAGCCAACATTCTTTACATTTTTT